ATGTTTTAAATATCGCGATGAAACATTGCGTTTGTTATATTGAGATAAATAAATTGGAAAAGTTGCGAGAATTCAGCGGTTTTATTCTCCAAGTTGAAAACTAAAAACTTTTATCGCAGCCGAGTATTTTTCTAAAAGGCGTGTTTGCAAACAGATTCGACGATACCTCGTATTATTTCCTGCCGGTTGGAATAAAGGAATTTAATCTAAAGCGAGTTTTAAAGAGTCTAGAAGAAATGAGATAAAAGTCATATTGCTTGATAATGAACAATAAAGATATATCATAAAAATATTCGAAAATGGATCTAAACAAACGATCCACGAAAATTTATAATATACAGATAAAGATCGTTATAACGTTATAAATAAACGTTACTTGTCGATCTATTTTAATAACAACGATAAACTATCTCTATTATAACGTACTTTATTTAAAAATGTCTACGTAAAAAATTAAAAATTAAAAAAGAAAAATTAAAAAAAATTGAAACAATCATTGCAATAGTAGTTGTAATGTCATGCAATTTGAAGAATACATATATGTATACATATATTTATATATAATAATATCAACGTAATAATACATGCCAGTAATTAATGCTAATAATTAATTAACGTTTAATCGATTCGGTTTGGTCGATAACCACGAATCGAATCGCGGTATTTAAACACGGACACGACGATACGTTAGAAACTAAATTCGGGTAATGTGGCAAGAGCGAAAAAACATAATGAAGAGAAAGTGTGTCAAGGTCGTAAATTTGGACACAGTGATTGATAAAACATAGCGAGAATGAACGATTGAATCGGTAAATCGAATAGAATCGATAAATCTGTAGATTAACGAAACGATAAAACAAACAATTAATGCATAGAAAAGTTGAAAAGTCTAAATTAAACTGCACGAAAAATCGAAATTAAAAAAGCGTGAAGAATAGAAGAATCAAAGAATCGTAAAATTGAAAGATCGAGTAAAATCGAATCAGAAAGTAGAATATTGAAAAATTGAAAAATCAAAGTATCAAAAATTCGATAATAGAAAAATTGAGTAATTAAGGAGTTAAAAAATGGAGAAATTAAAAATTTGAAAAATAGGATAATTGAATAGTTAAGGAGTCGAAAAATCGTGAAAGTAAAAATTCGAAAATAGAAAAATTGAACGATTACGAAATTAAAAAATCGAGAAATAAGAGATTCCAATAAACGATGGATCAAAATTTGAAAAACGGAAAAACTGAATGAAGGATTCAAGAAATTGTGAAAGTAAAAATTCGAAAATAGAAAAATTGAACGATTACGAAATTAAAAAATCGAGAAATCAGAGATTCCAAAAAGCGATGGATCAAAATTTGAAAAACGGAAAAATTGAATGAAGGATTCAAGAAATTGTGAAAGTAAAAATTCGAAAATAGAAAAATTGAACGATTACGAAATTAAAAAATCGAGAAATCAGAGATTCCAGAAAACGATGGACCAAAATTCGAAAAACCGAAAAATTGAAACAAGGATTCAAGAAATCGTGAATGTAGAAATTCGAAAATAGAAAAATTGAACGATTACGAAATTAAAAAATCGAGAAATCAGTGATTTCAAAAAGGGATGGACCAAAATTCGAGAAACGGAAAAACTGAATGAAGGATTCAAGAAATTGTGAAAGTAGAAATTCGAAAATAGAAAAATTGAAACAAGAATTCAAGAAATCGTGAATGTAAAAATTCGAAAATAGAAAAATTGAACGACTGCGAAATTAAAAAATCGAGAAATTAGAGATTTCAAAAAGCGATGGACCAAAATTCGAAAAACGGAAAAACTGAATGAAGGGTTAAAGAAATCGCGAAAGTAAAAATTGGAAAATAGAAAAATTGAACGACAACGAAATTAAAAAATCGAGAAATTAGAAATTCTAAAACGTGATGGACTAAAATTTGAAAAACGGAGAAACTGAATGAAGGATTCAAGAAATGGTGAAAGTAAAAATTCGAAAGTAGAAAAATTGAACGACTACGAAATTAAAAAAACGAGAAATCGGAAATTCTAAAACGCGATGGATCAAAGATTTGAAGATTAGAAAGTTGAAAACTGGAGAACCGAAAAATTCGCAGATTTTTTCCGCGATCGATCGGAAACGATCATAGTATCGCAAAACCGGATAATAACGAGAGACTTCGGAAATAAATAAGATGGAAAGTTCTGGTCTGTTAACTCCTAAACGTTAAACATCGCTTCCAAGGGAAAGAAATGAACTGAAAGAAAGTCTCGTCTCTCTTTACATTCGTGTTTTTCAAAAACAAGCGACTTGATTTATTTCAAGAAAAAGCTGTCGCTAACTTTCCATGATTTTGCAACGAGCATGCGTTCCATGATTTTACGCTGAAATTAAGTACGCATTGCATTATTCGCGTTTAAGTTTATTTAACTAGATTCAAAACTCACAAACACCCTACATGCACGATATGTAACATATGTAACGCACATGGTGTATATTATTCCTGATATTTCTTGACCTTGTCAAAGTTTTGTCATATTTCTTGCGCCCGATTAGCATGTTTCCGGATAATTTGCCAAAATGATAAAAGATATTTATTTAATTTATTCTTCTCTTTTTTCCTTTGAGACAAATGACAAAAGATATTTAATTTTTAATATTTATTTCATTTATTTTTCTTTTTTTTCTTTCAGACAAATGACAAAAGATATTTAATATTTATTTAATTTATTTTTCTCTTTTTTCTTTGAGACAAATCACAAAAAATATTTAATATTCAATATTTATTTAAATTATTCTTTTCTTTTTTCTTTAAGACAAATGACAAAAGATATTTAATATTTAATATTTATTTATTTCTCTCTTTTTTCTTTGAGACAAATGACAAAAAAATATTTAATATTTAATATTTATTTATTTTATTTCTCTCTATTTTCTTTGAGACAAATGACAAAAGATACTTAATATTTAATATTTATTTAATTTATTTTTCTCTTTTTTCTTTGAGACAAATGACAAAAGATATTTAACATTTAATATTTATTTAATTTATTTTTCTCTTTTTTCTTTGAGACAAATGACAAAAAATAATTAATATTTAATATTTCTTTAAATTATTCTTCTCCTTTTTTCTTTGAGACAAATGACAACAAGTATTTAATATTTAATATCTATTTAATTCATTCTTTTCCTTTTTTCTTTGAGACAAATGATAAAAAATATTTAATATTTATTTAAATTATTCTTCTCCTTTTTTCTTTGAGACAAATTACAAAAAATATTTAATTCATTTCTCCCATTTTTTCTCTTTTTCTTTGAGGAAATAGAAATATATACCTAGGAATAGTAATATACAGACAATTAAGGTTCTTCTTATCGTAAAATATCACAGATGCCAATAAAATCGATGAAATCTAAATTGTCAATGTTTAAATTAAAAACAAAATGTATACACTCGCAAACTGTGCTATACGTAACTGTATACATCGATTTTCTCTGTTGGAAGCGCGAGAATGGTCTGAGGCTAGAATTAAAGATTCGATTCTGGGTAACGCGAGTTACTTCCGGAACTCGTTTTTACTCCGTCTCGTGGATGAAAAGTTGCGAGATAGCAAAAGATGTCAGGAGGATAACAGATGTGGCCTCAGTACGCGGACATGTCAAGATTATGAACTGCCACGCACCGTCGGATCCTTCTGAAAGGTGTACTTCCGCTTTCCTCGAGCAATCTTGTATATTCCGCGTGTATCACGTTCCAAGATTTCCGGAAAACTATTTCAAATTCTACCATTAGCCGCGTATCCTGTGTCTGTATTCATTTTTACTTTTCCTTTCTTCGTTCTTATTTGAAATATACAGGTAGCCCTCCTACAACACGGCATCCTATAACACGGTTTCGCTATAACACGATTCATAAATTGAGGAACCCTCCTACAACACGGCATCCTATAACACGGTTTCGCTCTACGACAATAAGAAAATTGCAAAAACCTTTGTACAACACTGTACTTCTACATGCGCAGTGACGACGAAGAAATTTATTAAATTAAAGTTGCGTAAAATTAAAATAATATTTTTGTTTCTTTTTGTTTCGTGTTGTACATACATTAATATTTTTAATAAAAATTAATTTGTTCATGTAGAATTAAAAACAAATTTGTTTTTAGTAAATTTTCGGAACGTAACCCCCCTTTTTGTACTGCGCCTGGGTCTCATGCAACACGGTTTCACACAACACGGCATTTTCTGGGAACCTATCTACCGTGTTATAGGAGGGCTACCTGTACCTTATTTTCATCTTAATATCGTATATATCAAATTTTCTTCGTGCAAAAATAAATAGAAAGTATAAAATAAAATTGCTTTTAATAGCATTGGAGAAAATAAATTTCGAAAATCTATCGAGTACGTATACATTTGGACATATAATTAGGATAAGGATCGTCGAGTGGACGCAAGATGATACTTTGTGAAAAAATAAACGAAAAATGTAAAATCGAAGGCACTCTTCGAAGGTTCAGTTTTGTAGAAAATTGATTTCGAAAATCCATTGGGTATGCATACACTTACAGGTATATATGTATATATACAACTAAGACAAGGTTCGTCGAGTGGGCAGGAGGTGATTCTTCGTGAAAAAATGAAGATGAGAAACATAGAATAAAATTTGTATTTCGAGAACTGAGTTTTCGAGAAAATCCACTTTTGCATGTACATGTATTTACATAGCATGATACGTTATTTGCATGTATAAAATATAATTCGTCGAATGACACTATACCTACTGTTACATTTGCATACAATGTCTACGTGGTCTTTACAAGCTATTACAGCCAAGAAAGCACGAAGAAAAATTACCATCGACGATAATTTATTTCACCGATGGAGTAACTCGTCTATATAAATACATGTAGTCGGACACAAAAATATTTGGACACAATTTGCTTCCTCGTTTCACTTCCTCCACACTCTACCTTTTCCATCGCTACTATAAATATTATAGTGTATATATTACCTATATTTTAGCATAACGATACAGTTTTCGTGGTCACAGTGTCTCTATCTAAAACATAAAGAATAAATGTCAAATTACAAGCGTGTTCAAATATTTTCGTCACCGATTGTACTTGCGCATTCTTCTATTACTACCATAAATATTACGCTCTATATAGTAACCATATTTCGGCATGGCAATACAATTTTTGTATTGTATATTGCATCGCTATTTAAGACAAAAAGTCAATGTCAAATAACACGAGTTTTAAAATATTTTTCTTTGCCACGGACTGTACCCCTGCGCATTCTTCCATTGCTACCCACGAATATTATACTGTATATTATATTAGCTGTGTTTTAGCATAACGTTCATCGTGCCTCTATTTAAAACGTAAAAGATCAATGTCAAGTTACGCGCGCGTTCGAATATTTTTGTCGCCGACTGTACTTGCGCAACAGATTCACAAAACCAGGAACTGGATTTAAGAAGTAAGTCTAGAACGAAGATCTATTTTAACACGAAATATCACCTTCTACCCATCACTATTATAATATACAGTTGTTCTTCCAAGTATAAACGCGATTTCGAAGTAGGCGACTTTTTCGCGTTCTTTCAAGTTCCGCCATTATGTATTTCCGTCTCTCTTCATCTAACGCGAACCATTAGCGCATATAACTTAGTAAATTCACGTCCATCCACATTTTTGCATACCAACTTTTGCGTTTATTTTGACCTATAGAATCTACAGAACGATAGAAAAATCTATAAAACTATTTTGAAAATATATAGAACTATTAACTATGTAATTTTGAGTCTATAATTCTTCGTTGGTAAAAATTGGCAAAAATTTTAAAACAGCCTGTTCATTCATATTTCGATATGACGTATTATTTGATAACAATAGTTACGTACGCGTGTAATAAAAGATGAAGGGAGATGCAGAGAGAGAAGTTAAAAAATTTCGCGGATTTTCAAAATGGACACGAGCGATGTAGTTCACGAAATTATTCGATTCTAAAAATGCAAATGTTTCGACTTTCAAAATTCCAAAATAGAAATACACCCAATTCTGTTTTTACACGAACTTCTTTTACACGAGTTTGATTTAACACGAATTAGGAAAAAAATTTAATTCTCTTTTTACACGACTTATTTTGATTTAACACGATCGACCCAAATTCTAAGAAGAAAATTTTGCTTTACTTTTATTTTTATAACTGCGACATTGGAGACGAGGAATTAATTTTGCGTAAAAGTCAATAAATGGTAAGTTATAGTTTTAAAACCTTTGTTTTATTAACCCCTTAGCCTGCAATATGTGACAATATAATTAAAATATAAGTGACAACGAATAAAATCTTTTTACATGTAACTCATATTATCTTGCCTAATTTTTGTGTTCATGAATTAGTGACGTGTTTTTTTCCTTTTCAAATGATAATTTACTTTGTATGATACGTGTGCAATCTTTATGAAATAAAATGTTTAAGATCCTAACATGAAAACTCATGGTTTATTGTATTATTTTTGCTGATTTCTTGGGACTGGAACCAATCTTCTATTTTTCCATAGATGCAATATATTTTTTTGCACGAATTTTTTTACATATATTCTTCGAGAACGTATCTATCGTGTAAAAACAGAATTAGATGTATAAGATGTTCAATAAAAAATTAGATACTAAGTTAATCGGTGTTGTACAGTGAGAATTTGGAACGAATTTTTCCACCACTGGATATTGTCGACAATGGTTTACGAAAAGCCAAAGTTCTTTCGAATGTTAGAAATATAAAACAGAATTTGGTAACGGTAGCAAGTTGACGAATCAAGTGGATTTCAAATTGTATTTTGAATTATATTTTTCGATTTACTGTATGCTTTTATAGTAGTCTTATATTTAAAATATAAATATAAAATATATATTATATATAAAATGAGAAGCTCCAGAAGGTCCTGAGTGTCAGTAATTAATACGATAATTAGTACTCTACAGTCAATAGCCGTCAACCGTATAATTATTATTAATATTAATCGTTTCAGTTCAAACTTGAACTTCTTTCGCACTATACAGTAGAACGTCGATCATTCGAATTAATTAGGGGGTAAAACCGTTCAAAATTATCCATCTGGAAGAAAGAAATTTTGAATTGTTTCATAAATATACTAGAAATGAAAAATTACCATTCATAATTCTATTTTCTAAACTATTTTTACATACATTCATTCACGATCACCGCAATAGTTTTCGAATATATATTTCTATATATATTACGTATCAAATTTTATAATTCGAAATTAGTTCCAATTTTTCAATTCAAGTGCACGACTCACTCGATATTCGGATAATTAATCAAAATTCACGCAATCGACGTTCTACTATACTTTACGTATGTATAGTAGACACTCTATGCATCTACTATATACGACATTATTTTTGACGTGTTGCGTTTAGTCTATCGTCAAATTAATCATCTCGTCTCGTCTTCGTTATCACCAATTTTGAACACAAAGCAGTTTCTGCTCATTAGATAAAAAAGAAAGAACAAAATAAAATGAAACAATAAATTACAAATGCGTTATATCACTCGGGCTTATTATACTTCGAAGGAAAACTGTAATTCTATTACAAAATTTATAATATGATATTAACAATTACACAGAAGCGCTTTCGCCCATTAGATAATAGAAGAAAATAAAATAAAATAAATAAATAATTTAGAAACGCGTTATATCGCTTACGCTTACTATACTCGGAAGGGCACTCGTAATCCTATTACAAAATTTGTAATTCGTTATTACCACTTACACAAAAGTGCTTCAGTTAGTTAGATAATAGAAGAAAATAAAATAAAGTAAAGTAAAATAAAATAAAATAAATAAATAATTTAGAAACATGTTACATCGCTCACGCTTACTATACTTGGAAGGGTACTCGTAATCCTATTACAAAATTTGTAATTCGTTATTACCAATTACACAAAAGTGCTTCAGTTAGTTAGATAATAGAAGAAAATAAAATAAAGTAAAGTAAAATAAAATAAAATAAATAAATAATTTATATCGGCCGCGCTAACTATACTTCGAAGGACAATCGTGATTCTATTTGTAACGTAAATTCTGTTTCTATGCTTGGAAATAAGATTTGTACACCCTATGCACCTTTGCTAGCCTGAGCGCACCCCATACTTTACTACGCGACACAAATCCCAACATCCTGTACCATAAATCGACCGTACAAAAGTTATCTTTGAAAAAACGTGAAATACGCAATACACGACTCGAGGTGACGACGCACACGCACTATGCATTGTTGGATAGGTAGGGGAAACGTGGTCGGTAGCTGGGTTTCGATTAAAAAGGACCGGTTTGCAATTAATCGATCGACTCAGGCTGTGTTCGGTGTGCCGTCCTTAACCTAGATCTCGTCACCGTTAACCCATCGAATTACGTTCCTCCGCCTTTCGCGTGTGACGATTCCATTCCCCGTGTCCGGTGAAATTAGACAGACTTTTTAATCCGAGCATGGCAGCTTTCACTTTTTAACCAGGCCGCGCGAGCGGTTAATGCCGAATTCCGAGATTACGCTAACAAGAGGAAATGAAAGTTAAAGCAAACGTCGTGGAGCACGTAAATGTCCGTAGAAATTTGACGGAAGGAAAGGTGTTTGAATAGATAAATACACCTACAAGATTGTCAGCGATGCGTGCAGTAATTGCTCGTGTTTTGTCTCGCGCCTCTACTCGTGTCGCGTTCATTAAATTTCCCGTTTCTCACCGTGCCTCTGATTTGCGTAAACGAATTCGATAAATTCGCGAAAATGATATACGGTAGCGTTAGAAATTTCGGGAATTTTATTAAAATCGTCGAACGATAATCGAATTTGCCCGCCACAGCGAAGCGTCGTTCCAACTTCTGCCGGCAGATGTCACTGTACCAACCACACGGCACACTGCCGCGTATACACGTACGCTTCGCGTAGTCCTTGGTTAATCCGTATTCGGAGTTTATGACGCGTAACCACGTGCAATTGTATTCTGTAATCTTGTATTCCACGCTTCTTTGTCTGCTAGTATAGTTAACAAAATACGTGGGGAAAATAAATAAATGCACGGTACACAGGCTGATACACATAACTTACACGCTTCGAATAACTTTTAAAATACAGGTTGTATGAAATGCGTTGCATTTTTCTATACAAGAGTTGGATCGTTTATAGAAACACGTTACGTTGTGTCTGCATTTTTCTTTATTGAAAATCTTTCCAACACTTCAAGGTCTGTCTCGCTTTTTTTAGACGCACCGTTATATTTTTAGTGCAAAAATATCGGAGAATGTCGAATCGAAAAATAAATAAAGATACTTAGATTTTTATAAAAATCTTCTCTTAAATAGAAACTTGATTTGGTACAATGGGTATTAAGTGGAGATTTAATTATAGACTTCAATCGTGAAACGTACTTAATCTCGGATATATTTTACTTTCAATGTGTTCAAGATGTTTAATTATTCCAAGTGATTTAGATATTATTATCCTCTTTGTTGTTACCGAAAATAATACAGTTTCTTCTCAATTAATTAACCTACGCGTTATTAACGTTCTATCTCCTATTGCTTTTTAACGAGTAATTAACATCTGCTCGTATTCGCCGACGTTATTTAATAATCCTAGTAAATCAGTTAAATTATAGTTTAGTAGCAGATTAGACTGCTAAATTATAATTCCACAAACTATAATTCCAGTAAATTAAATTACGTACTTCCATGGCAGTTAAATTACGCTGTTGGAATATCAACTGATTTCCAAATTATAATTAGACAAATTATAATTTTGTTAAGAAAATTACGTAAATAAATAAGTACAATTGCAAATTATATTCGAAGTCGTTTAAAACGGTTCTAAAATCTGCACAGGGACAAAATTGCATACTCGGTGAAAAAGATTTCGCGAAAAAGATTCTGAAATCGATATAAAAAAGAAATTACAAATTCGATCGATAAAAGAATTTTTAAGGATTTTTAAATTCTCGTGGAAATAATAAATTGTATGAATAAAAGAATTTTCCTAC